CATAATCATCGGCAGCATGACATCAGTGTTCAACACCGATGCTTCACTGCCGTACAACCACTAGTGCATTGAGTTTTTTGTGGTACTTCGGATGAAACCGTTGCAGAAAGGTTTCAACTGTATCATCAGAAGCACCGAGAAGTAGGCAGAACTGATATAGTGTGAGCCTTGATGGTGTGCGTTTCATAGGGTCGAGATAGTCTGGAATGAGTTGACTTATACAGGCGGAAATACCAAAATAGGTACTGCAGGCATATCCATTTCAGGCTAAAGACTCATAAAGAGGTTGTGAGGCAAAAATCCTTCTGAAGATTTTGCACGTATCATGTATTGTACCATTAAACCACAGTGAGGAGTCCACACTTTCGTAAAGAGTCAGCAATACGTTTCCGCTTATTCTTGATTCCATACGTCAGCGCGGTTTGTGCTGTGATTAATGGTGATCCAAGCGATATATCGTGCGCCGACCTACTGGAATCCACCCCATGAGCACTACACTTGACACGAATGTAATCTGCGGCCTGTGTTTCAGGTTCATCACCTTCTAGTAACGTGGGATGATCTACGGTCGTATCCTGTTGGTCTTGAACGCACACAACATCCGGTCACCTAGATTAGAGTATGAACACTTGGGTGTCCAAACCCATGAGGTTAGGTCCGTCCTATTCCCCAGTGACTTTTGTCGCAGCCTTTGCAAGTGTAACAGTCCCCATCCAATTTCCCTTCAACTTTATTCACAATACGGTGTCCCCATTATGCCTGTCGTCATTACACACCGAGAGCACGTGCTGACGCCGATGCAAAAACGTTTGCAGCAACAGATGTGTCCCGTGTACTGCAGAACCGATCAAAAGAATGAGGTCTTATCCAATTCACGCGCCACTGGTCAGGTGTGTTCACAGCCTGAAGGTGCAGTCAGCTGGCCTCCAGTTTGTGGATCTTCGCAATTTCCATGGTCCCTGTGGCCGCAAAGGCTCTGTACTTTCTGTGCCAAGCAAAAGCTTGAAGAGTTCATTTTTCCAGTACTGGGAATTGACTAAAATTCGCGGGAAACGCCACATTTTTTCTGAATTTGGAGTCGTTATGTGGCTGCTAGGCAAGGTAATTTAATCCAGTTCATCGCGTGCCTGATTCAAGTAAAGCTAAGCATGGAATAATTGTTATAATCCACCACTTGCGATCCCACCAATGAGAACTTTTTTCTGTCCATCCGTTAGTTGTTGTCGGCTCAACCACCACTGACAATTGGTAAACCTACTCAAGGGGTCAACAACGCATAACGGCGTCTCTAACTTCATCTGCCACAAGCCGCAGTGAATTACATACTGTCTGTTGGTGGCTAGAGATGTGTTCAGATAAAGCAGGTAAATGAAATTGTTTTGCTTAGAAGTCTGGAGAGGGCTTATTCTCCCATCAGTAGAATCACTCTGAAGTAAAACCACGTTCATTGATGGTCTGTAAAATATTCCCTCATGTTACTCTTGTCGTAAGCCGAATAGATCACGCTCTTCTTGCAGGCGTACGCACTTCGAGGGTTCCTATCTCTTGCAAGCCGAAAGATAACAGGATCGGCTATTGAACTGTCCTCAGTAAGTGGAACCAATGTGGAACAAGCTTAAAGTAAAATAAAGGACTCCAAAAGACTAACTGGACGAACCTCACGGACGAGCGAGTCGTGTGCAATCAGCATTTATTGGTGAGGCCTATTTGTTACCCTCATTTAGCGAGCTTTCTCTTCTCGGAAGGCGTCCTGTTTAAAAAGTTGGTGCAATGATTAACCATGCACTAGCTACAGCTCGACTGATCGGCTAATAAAATTGCTGTTTCCATTCACGACTAAGTGATCTCTACATATTTAAGACTCCGCAGTTAAAAAGCTTTACCGCCTCCGAAATACAAGATGCTTTTGGTGTGATGGAGATTAGGTAACACTTTGTCATTTACAATCAGTATGAGCGTTTATATCGCCGTAGTGGAACCATTAGGTGCGAAGGGTGCCGTCTAACTTGACACACTTAGGCAGTAATATGAGAAGGACTACATTACCAGTAAGAACATTGTTCTGGCTTTCTACGCTTCGAATCTAAAATTCCAACATAAAGAGAATACCGGGACAATCATGAAAAAAACAGTGGGTCTGTAAAGATTCTGACAAATCAGCACTGTTCACTCGAGCCGATAGCTTTAGACGATTACAGATAGTGTTCAGGGAAACAACCACATTTATTTTCCGCACTTTCAAAATACCAAATATGTGGCTGTCTGGCGGTCTTTTTTATTTAACACGTCGATTTCTAGCCAACAAAAGTTGCTCGTTGAACACATTGACCCATTCACGCTTCCAGCTAAAATAGAGCTTAGATATGCGCAAGAAAGCTTTGTTGAACGGACTACTGTAGAGAGAGCACTTCTGAATTATTCCGTTGTCGACTTTTAACCGTTCTTGTTGGTAATTTTAGTTGACGTTTATGAGAGGAATTCAATGAGTGACAATTGCGTTCATTGAATGCGAACATTCATACTGGATTCAAGAGGTGTCAGTCATCGAAGTGATTTGAACGAAGCTGATTAGGTTGAGTCATAGCCGACTGCTACAATAAACAACTGATAAAAGCAAAACCCGAGTCAAGCACGTCCTTCCCTGGTGTGGACCAACAGAAACAGGTACACCAGGACAAGAAGATAAATGCTCAAACGAGCATGATATCTCAGTCGAAAGTGATAAAAAAGTTTCAGGTGTCAAAAAGCCTCCACGATAAGCGATACCTCTCAGAAAACGGACGAATGAGCGGATTCTTAGGTCATGCGAAGTGAAATGTAGTCTCCGTCTCCTTTGTCATTACTTGCTACTAACTCGTCCCGGTGAAACACACTTTCTGCAACAGAGGTGAACACTGACGGTAACAGCGTAGGCTGTCTGTACTACCTGCCAATGAATTGCAGTAGTTGCAATGAAAGGCATAAATAATTAAAGAGATCCTCCAATTGTAACGTGGCCTAAGTCTACAATAATTCTGGGTCGAGTAAATACAAAACTGAATGCACGAAGATGACCACACAGGAAGCGATCACATAAGCGGACATCAAAGGATTCGTAAACAGAATCCAGAGAGAGTCTAACTTACAAATTTCCACCTAGGTCGAGTAATTGCTCACATTGTGACGGTTGGTATTTTTACTGCTCTCATATTAACCATGACAGTTTGGTGCAAGTCTCCGCATCAGTCGTTCGCATTTGTTCCTTTATTGTTGACCAGTCCATTATGTTGCTTCAGTCGGTTTACTGAGCTTTTCTCGCTTAGCAGATTCAAAATCATTTCCTTCGTCGTTACTGTCTTTGGTGTCGTCTCCTTTCAGATCAAAGCAACCTTGCTGCCTGACTGAGTGACCGATTGACACCACAGGAAACTAAAAGAGACGAATAAGGGTGATCTTTTGGAGTACAATGCATCATTACATGTTGCACATCTGGGCTCAGAAATTACGTTGATTGCTTTGCCTAACGCATTCTAAATGTGTTGATAGGACGTGAGCCTCCCTCCTCAAAGGTTGAATGGGCACACGGGTGTCAGACATGATGGTTTTATTCACATGTTATACCATTATTAATGTTACATCCAAGCACGAACTGCCACGGAGCCATTAAATCTCAGTGAGCTGTCCTTCAGTTTTCGGTGACCGATCTTTCAGACAGACAGAAGATTCCAAAGCTTCATCTGATCTGAAGAATGTACCAAGCATTTGTGACTTTCCAACTACAAGGTTGTCCTTTGGTCGAATCATTCCTGACCGACTCCAAACTACATGCGTAAAGTCCGACTGATACTGCGTTGATGTTGCAAATGGACCTTTGCGGATAGCTAGACAGCCGTGACGACGAAGCATATCCGGTCGTCGTACACTTTTAGTTTGAAACTCGCTCCGATAAACCGTCAGTTCAGGTTGTTCAGATATGGACGCTGATTTGGGTCTTGAAAGCGTTATAGGCTCAGATTCATGCTGGTTTCGAGAACATTTACAACAAAGGGGACAGCTCTGTGACGGGTTTTGTACACAATCTCCCTGTGACTGTATCACCTGCCCAGTGGTATTTTCGGCCGCCTTAGCACTGTTTGTATTGTACTGGGTTCCGCTTTCAGCTTCAGAGGTCATTCTACTGATACTATTTATCAGTAGGAAAGCATAAGCAAAGTCTTGCGGAATCAGCTGGTGTCGAAACGTGCAGACCTAATAGATCAACTACACCCAGCAAATGGCGGTTCAAATACCCGATGTGACAGATTGATTGTTATCGATCGGGTCCACTGAATGACGAACAGACATACGAGTGGTAAATGGTCTTCAGCTTCTATAATACTCAGATACGAAGCAGTAGTTTTGGGCACAATTTTAGCATTTTATTCGTTCCAACTGCTTGTCACTCACGGATGTGGACTTTTGGAGACACTCCATAGCAAAATTGTTTTTGTTTCACGATAACTCCAAAGTTATTAGTCACCGACGTCTTTATAATGACTACTAATAGGGTGAATGTGACGATTATCGATAGGTCCAGTCATAACCGAATAAAGTTACAAGAATATTTGTAATGTGCTACTCATAAGGTTGCTGAAAACCCATCGACAGCCCACGACCGGTTTCACCATTCTTGGGGCTCATCAGGTAGGCGCAGTCCCCGGGTTTCCGTCAAACTTATGTTCTACTTGAAACCAAATTGCACGAACTCAGCGAATATACACTCATCTGCAAACTAATTTGGTTCTTTCGAGAGACTCACCTGGAACCCAGCTGAATCTCTCGTTTATGATGTTCTCAGGCAACTGAATGTGCTGCACCAGGCCGCCTCATGTTTCAGTTACAAGAATATTGAAAGAACAGACTGAGGTAATCACACCATAAAATCGTAAATGAGCAAAGAAGAAGTGCGAGACCAGCTTGGGGAAAGTTCTGACAGCGCGATCTCACCTTACGTCAAAACATCCTTAAATTGCTTTGCTATAATTTTTATTGGTATGGGAATGGCGACCAAACACTTTGTTTAACACTTACCTGTACACGTTTCGGAGTAAATTACTAATTTTTTCGGGGCTAGCTGACTTTCTTGCCTTTGTACACTGTGTGCCTTTTGTTTGCGAAAACACTTAGGAGATTCCAGAAAGTCATGTCCATGGTAGTGCTTCTTCGTGGGGGAAAGAGATCACCAAAAACCTCATTGCACTCTCCCTGCAATAGGGTAAAGCAATTGCACCTTTCCCTTTTTTAACATAGCTAATCAGATTGAATTTTTCTGAAAGCCTGGAAGCTCCAGATACTCATCATCTTTAGTCACATGAACCGATACAACACACTGAACTGGCATAGTGGATGTCAGTCTCGATTTCTGATTAAACGTTAGCAAGGTTCACCAAATCCAACAATTTATCTACAAGACATTTTAAATCAGGAAAATAAAATGACGATTCCTAGCAAATACCATTGAGCTAATTAGTTAAAGCGTGGGGAAACGGCCCAGTTAGGTCTTGAGGCGAACCGGCTGGCATACACAACAGTAGAGTTCCCACTGGGATGATATACTGAAGTCTTCCAACCACTTAAACTTTTAGATCGATACTCGAAAGCGCATTTTTGTAAGTTCTTCGTCTGGTTTCTGGTGATACCTGTTTGACCTGAAAAAATGTATTATGGTAAAGAAAAACACCGTAATCCTAAGGTAATTGTAATGAGGATATTTACCTGAAATCAAAGTAACCTAGCCAGAGAGTGGCTTTGTTTTTGGGAGACAACCACACTAGATGGCAATACTGTGATGTCAGAAACTTTCGTTTTATCCAACGAATGATTGAAACAATTAAATGAGTAGATAAGTGAGAACTACTGAGATAAATAAATAAACAAACGATTGCCCGAGTATATATATGGATGAACGAATGAAGGAGTGAACAGGATAGGGAATAAATTGGCGATTTTCCAGGTGTATATCCCATGAACGGCTAGGAATTCAGGTCTGTCTTCGTCGATCGATCAGTCAGACAGTCAACAGAAGACAGCAAAGGATCCCTTTTCTATAATAGTCTATCACAAAGTTGGAACAGAAAGAGATATTGATTATATTGCATACGCTGAATCCAAGATATTGGCAGGTAGATGAGCATCAGGTTAACGAAATAATTTGGTTAAAATGCAGTCTGATGATGAAAACATCCAGTTTCGAAGACAGCGAAGCTGTTCCGTTGTTGATTGTCTCATCAGGAATCGCTCAGAAAGACATGATAACCTGTCTATCTCGCTGCACTTGAGGTAATTTTCGCCGCGATAGGAAAGTCACGAAATTACTTTCAGGCAGTGCTAGAAGTGAAGAACACAGATCCTACCCATTGTGAAGGTAAGACAAGCATTTACAGTCTTTAGCCGGTGGACCTTTTGCTTTCATGCAGCAAAGCTAGGTGATCGAAAGCGGCATTTGAACAAAATAACTGCAGCACCCCTACTCCAACGGGGAGTAGTTTCATGGGAGATTTAGATCAGCAATTGGAGAAGGGCTTCCCCGATTCGCTCGCCTACACGGCAGCATGACCGTTTTCCATACAAAGGACGGTGATATATTTCAAGAACTACGGAATACTGACTAATCTAAAAGGACAACGTCGATCCTATCTTATAACTGTTGAATTGAGCCCTCTTAACTATGACCTGTCCGTCAGCTTACTACTTCTTATATTTTGAGCACTGATCTAACGGTACAAGCACTTGTGTAACGGTGATACCACTGATGGGGAGGCACGCGAGTAGTATGTGTTGCTCGTAGAATTTCGCTTTGCGTCTTTTGAAAAGGGGAGATCTGTTGCGGAATTCGTAGAGTCACTTTGTATCACTTGCTTGGATTTGACCTAGGAATGATTGGAGTCAATGGATCTCCAGGAAATTTCAAGAAGATGCGTTCGGGAGAAGATTTGTTTCCAGTTTTTGTAAATAAAACGCAAATTAGAGTTTTGCTTCCCTCTTCAGTGATCTGTAACCGTCAATTGGCATTTCCTAATAGATAACTTCGCACTGAAGGTTTTCTTCTTTTCACTGGTAGCAGCTAACTTCATAACTGGGCTTCTCGGTTATGGCGTTTGAGAGTATCCCGCTTACTTGAGCCGGCAGTGCCACACAAACTTGTGGATGCCGAGACCTGTGAATGTTTCGTTACTTACGCATCAGATGCAAGACGGCTCGATGGTTGTTCGAGAGACTCACCTGGAACCCACCTGAATCTCTCTTGTATGATGTTCTCAGGCAACTGAATGTGCTGCACCAGGCCGCCTCATGTTTCAGTTACAAGAATATTGAAAGAACAGACTGAGGTAATCACACCATAAAATCGTAAATGAGCAAAGAAGAAGTGCGAGACCAGCTTGGGGAAAGTTCTGACAGCGCGATCTCACCTTACGTCAAAACATCCTTAAATTGCTTTGCTATAATTTTTATTGGTATGGGAATGGCGACCAAACACTTTGTTTAACACTTACCTGTACACGTTTCGGAGTAAATTACTAATTTTTTCGGGGCTAGCTGACTTTCTTGCCTTTGTACACTGTGTGCCTTTTGTTTGCGAAAACACTTAGGAGATTCCAGAAAGTCATGTCCATGGTAGTGCTTCTTCGTGGGGGAAAGAGATCACCAAAAACCTCATTGCACTCTCCCTGCAATA